TAAATAAAGCAGAGACTCCGGTGCAACTAAGAATGCAATGCTAAAATCTCTCATCTGTCCATTTACCAAACCATTCGCCAATCCATCCAAATATGGGATCTTCCTGCAGTGAACAAAGATCATCTGTTTGTAGCACGCTAGATGCCAGTTAGTAAAGTTTCGCTGCCTGTAGAAAGCCCACTTTGAGGTGTTGAATCACCCCACTTTCTTACTATAAAATCCATAAGGGGGCAGGATTGGACCTACAGCCATCATAATGTCTAACAGAAACAAAACCTGTGGGATCTACAGGGCCTGGAGAATGGATGTTTCCTTCTGGAAAATGCATGGTGGGTATCAGGACTCAAGGTTTATGTTTCGAGCACTTTAATAACAGAAGATGCTTGCTTGACGGTGGAAACTCTGAGAAGCACAGTCAGGGGAACTGAAGATGTGGCATTTTCCTCTTGGGGTCATTCCCTGGATTGCCCATCTTTGCAACCAGATTTTGGTTGAACTCACGTAGCCTTCCCCCCGCCCGCCCCCATCTCGTTGTATCTGTCCATTCGCTCAGTGAACATGGATCTCAGCTGTTGGTAAAATTCTGCTCAGAGGTTTACTTCTTCCCTAGCCCTAAGTCTCAATGGTATTGACAGTCATAGCCCTAACTGCTCTTTAAAATCGGGATTTTGATCTTGAATAGCTATCGTCTTCCCAGACATCAGGCTAAATGTTCTATGTGCTCTGTCTTGCTTAATCCTTACAAGAACTCTTCTGAAACAGGAACACATTTGACACATGAAGAAACCAAGACCCAGAGATATTAAGTGACTTTGCCCAAGGTTACACAGCCATTAAGTGGCAGGGCCTGGACTCACCATGTCCTTCTGAGGTCAAAGTCCTTGACCTTAATCACTCTACTCCCTCTGGACCTTAAAAAATGTGTTTGAAGATTTGGGGAAATTCACATTATGGCATAAGTGTGAAACATCATAAATAGGGATTAAGCATTAAAGAGAAGACACCCTTTTCTTACTAACTAAAAAAAAAAAAAAATCTTTCTGGCATTTGCTAGGGAACATAACACTCGCCCTGCCCCCATCATTCCTAATTTTTTTTTTTTTTTTTTTTTTTTTTGCGGTACGCAGGCCTCTCACTGTTGTGGCCTCTCCCATTGCGGAGCACAGGCTCCAGACGTGCAGGCTCAGTGGCCATGGCTCACGGGCCCAGCCGCTCCGCGGCATGTGGGATCTTCCCGGACTGGGGCACGAACCCGTGTCCCCTGCATCGGCAGGCAGACTCTCAACCACTGCGCCACCAGGGGAGCCCTATTTTTTTTTTTTTAATCAATCCCAAACAATGGTATGCTAGCGTCAGCTCATACTGCATCACAAGAACTACATTTGTGCATCTCTTCCCAACTCCAAGTTAGTAACATCATGGTGGTAAGCTTGAAATCAACCAGGGTGGGAGTATTTATACCATGGAAATCGGCATGGCTGCAAATCATGGTTTTTCCCTCTCTGGAGAACTGGTGATTAAACACTGACCAGCATACCACTGACCCCCAAGTGAAATCACCATCAGGAGCAAAGGGTTCACTGAAAAAAACAACCCCCAACAAATACTCTGACTTCCTGGGGGAATCATTCTTGGGCTGCATGTTTCCGTCAGGTCTGGCTGAGGTTCTGGTTGGTTGAGGTTCTGCTCTTACAGAGCTGGACATCCTCGGTTCCCTGATAGGATACTGTCCTGACGAGTCACAGGAAAACCTCCACTTGACTCAATGTAACCACTGTCTTTTTTTTTTTTTGGATAACAATTTTGGGTCCCCTTATGGGCATATTTCTAAAACCAATCAAAGGAAATAAAGATGGTCCTTTTTGTCTTCTCAATCCAAATTCTGTATTATGTTCTTTCCTCAGTTTGGGAGAGTGGTGCCCAAATGTCAGAGGCAAGATGTCACCGCTGGTAGCTCACTCAGGGAGATACAATGCTTTTAGAGGTCCACTGGTTCAGGGGCCTTTCTCTTAGAATCTAGGTATCAACTGTGAAAAAAATTAGATGTTGCACGGACCCATAAATTCTATTTCTCAGAACCTAGCCAACAGAAATATTTTCAACCCGGCACAAAATGTATGTGCAAGGATATTCCATGCAGTACTATTTTGAAATGGCAAAAACTGGGGAACAACCCTAGTGTCCATTAGTAGAGAAATGGCTATCTAAAATATGGTCTGTCCAGACCAAAGAATACTCAAACATGAAAAGAATATGGTAAAAATGTTAAAAGAATGTGGAAGATTTGCCTGTACGATGTTGGTAAACAAACGTTTGCTGGGCCAGGCAGATTCAATGGGACACAGGGTGGACTCACTCACTACACCCAGCCCGTGTTCTTTGCAGGCATCTCTGGTGATAGCTCTATTCCAAGAAGAGGCCCTCTGTCTAAATCCTGTTAGGCAGTTAGGGGGCAGGTCGAAGTTTCTTCCTGAGTTTTTTGGGCCTTTATTGTTTTTAGCTCAAAGTAATCCACATGCCAAAGAGACATTTTGGGGTGGCAAATTCTGCTCCCCTACAACCATGATGGAAAGATGTCCGTAAGACACTGTAAAAGGGGGAAAATCACATACATTTCCACTAAGATCAGGAACAAGGCAAGGTTGCCCACTCTCACCACTCTTATTCAACATAGTTTTGGAAGTTTTAGCTACAGCAATCAGAGAAGAAAGGAAATAAAAGGAATCCAAATCGGAAAAGAAGAAGTAAAGCTGTCACTGTTTGCAGATGACATGATACTATACATAGAGAATCCTAAAGATGCTACCAGAAAACTACTAGAGCTAATCAATGAATTTGGTAAAGTAGCAGGATACAAAATTAATGCACAGAAATCTCTGGCATTCCTATACACTAAGGATGAAAAATCTGAAAGTGAAATCAAGAAAACACTCCCATTTACCACTGCAACAAAAAGAATAAAATATCTAGGAATAAACCTACCTAAGGAGACAAAAGACCTGTATGCAGAAAATTATAAGACACTGATGAAAGAAATTAAAGATAATGCAAACAGATGGAGAGATATACCATGTTCTTGGATTGGAAGAAGCAACATTGTGAAAATGACTATACTACCCAAAGCAATCTACAGATTCAATGCAATCCCTATCAAACTACCAATGGCATTATCCACAGAACTGGAACAAAAAATTTCACAATTTGTATGGAAACACAAGAGACCCCGAAGAGCCAAAGCAATCTTGAGAACGAAAAAAAGAGCTGGAGGAATCAGGCTCCTGACTTCAGACTATACTACAAAGCTACAGTAATCAAGACAGTATGGTACTGGCACAAACACAGAAATATAGATCAATGGAACAGGATAGAAATCCCAGAGATAAACCCACGTACATATGGTGACCTTATCTTTGATAAAGGAGGCAAGAATATACAGTGCAGAAAAGACAGTCTCTTCAATAAGTGGTGCTGGGAAAATTGGACAGGTACATGTAAAAATATGAAATTAGAACACTCCCTAACACCATACACAAAAATAAACTCAAAATGGATTAAAGACCTAAATGTAAGGCCAGACACTATAAAACTCTTAGAGGAAAACATAGGCAGAACACTCTTTGACATAAATCACAGCAAGATCATTAGAGAAATGCAAGTCAAAACTACAATGAGGTATCACCTCACACCAGTCAGAATGGCCATCATCAAAAAATCTACAAATGATAAATGCTGGAGAGGGTGTGGAGAAAAGGGAACCCTCTTGCACTGTTGGTGGGAATGTAAACTGATACAGCCACTGTGGAGAACAGTATGGAGGTTCCTTAAAAAACTAAAAATAGAACTACCATATGATCCAGCAATCCCACTACTGGGCATATACCCTGAGAAAACCATAATTCAAAAAGAGTCATGTACCACAATGTTCACTGCAGCACTATTTACAATAGTCAGGATATGGAAGCAACCTAAGTGTCCATCAACAGATGAATGGATAAAGAAGATGTGGTATATATATACAATGGAATATTACTCAGCCATAAAAAGAAACGAAATTGAGTTATCTGTAGTGAGGTGGATGGCCCTAGAGTCTGTCATACAGAGTGAAATAAGTCAGAAAGAGAAAACAAATACCATATTCTAACACATATATATGGAATCTAAAAAAAAAAAAAAAGGTTCTCATGAACCTAGGGGCAGGACAGGAATAAAGACACGGATGTAGAGAATGGACTTGAGGACATGGGGAGGGGGAAGGGTAAGCTGGGATGAATGAGAGTGGCATGGACATATATACACTGCCAAATGTAAAATAGATAGCTAGTGGGAAGCAGCTGCATAGCACAGGGAGATCGGCTTGGTGCTTTTTGAGCACCTAGAGGGCTGGGATAGGGGAGGGTGGGAGGGAGACGCAAGAGGGAGGGGATATGGGTATATATGTATGCATATAGCTGATTCACTTTGTTATACAGCGGAAACTAACACAACACTGTAAAGCAATTGTACTCCAATAAAGATGTTAATTAAAAAAAAAGACACACAACAAAACTTTGAAAGGGAAAACACAAAAACATGGAGAATGAGAGGAGTAAAAGGGAGTGGGAGAGGAGGAAAAAGAAGAGGAACAAATGAGGAATAGCGCTGGGGAGACATGGTCCAAGAAGGGAGCTGGAGAGAAATCTAGCTGTGCTTCCAGGGCGGGGCTGGGCCAGCTGGCCAGTTTCTGTGGTGTAAATACTCCCACCATGGCTGAATCATTTCAAGCTTCCGATGTGGAGTTGGGGAGAGATGCTGGGAGGGATGCACAGGGGGGCTGTCACCACCGCATGACCCGTATGACCTGGCTCCAGCTCACCCCCCTGTTTGGACCCCACATAGCAGCACTCCTAAAGCAACCCACCCACCAAGAAACAGCAGTAGGAGGAAGGGAACCCATGGGAGCTTCCTCCCCCACGGCCCAGTCTCTTGCTAGTTACACGGCAGGTGGAAGGGCTGAGACCTACTTCGGATTCCAGCAGGTGATCACGGGCTTCATGGTGTGGTGGGTGTGGTCGATAGTCAGGGCCTCCAGGAGCCAGTGGAGGGCACAGAGCTGGCGGAAGATGGGCTCGCTGCAAAGACAGAGGGAGGAAGCCCAGCGGGCTCCTGTTAGAACAACATTCTTCACAACAATGGCGACAGAGACAGGAGTGGTGCTGGCTCCCGGCTGGAGAGCTGTCTCCAGGCTCCAGGAGTGTGGCAGCATTTCCCACACACCAGCATTAAACTTTCCCAATGGGCTCCTGAGCTATTTATTGGCCCCATTTTACAGATGAGGGAACTGAGGCTCAGAAGAGGTGAGGAACTTGTGCATGTCACTGGGCCAGTAGGCGGCAGAGCTATGATCAGACACAAGGTGACCCTATGCCAGTTACTGGGGATTTGCATGCACAGTGGGAAGGGACAAGGGAGGGTGTCCCACAGGTAGAGGACTGGATTCAGGCAAGTGAGAGGACTGAAGGAAATGAACATCCAACAGGCATCCGATTCTTCATCTGATAAAAATACGATAAATACACTAGCAGGGTCCAAAACGTGCGGAAACACAAGGAAACTAGTGTATTCATTGTACTTTCTCTCTACCCCAATTAACAACTAGACCCACTGCTTTAAATTTATAAATCCTTTGCCCCAAATGTAGCTGGATGTTGAGGAAAACCACATTGAACACATGATTTGAAAATGTAACTAAAACACCATTTAAAAATAGGTCTAACCTGTATTTTCTGATTTGGGGGGCATTCTGTATTACGATGAGCCAGGCATTGGGTAGGACACCTGACACATGTTATTTATTTCTCCCCAAACCCTGCCGGATAGGAATCATTATCTGAATTTTAGAGAAGAGGAAACTGAGGCTCAGAGAGGGGCCATCGGTTTGCTCCAGGTCACACAGCTTGTTGGTGGCAGAGATGGGGCCTGAATATCCCACTCAATGCTCTCGACAACCCTATAAGAAGGGTGACTTTATTCCGTCCTCTTTGCAGACAAGGGACTGGGAGAGGTAGAGTTGCCTGGGGTCACGCTAGGATTAGTGAGGATTTGAACCCGCATCTGTTTAATCCCAGAGACGGTGCTTTTGTGGACCTGAGCTCTTATTGTTTGAGGTGCTGATGGGGCCAAATGAGTGGCCACCCCGAGAGCAAGGTCAGGAGAGGGTTAACCTGCTGCCTGCATTCTTCCTGGAAGTGAGGGGGAGTCCTAACTAGCCAGCCCCTCCCTGCATGATTTCTCCTCTTACACTAATGGGTCAGAGGCCTCCATTACTAACCTGTGTAATTGCTCTTCTCTGAAACTGCTACTGTATTGATCGATACTCCCCAGGGCTCCTGGGCCTGTGCTCAGAGGGGCAGGCAGGAATCCAGCCTCCAGCTTCCAGGAAGGCCCCAGCTCAGAAGGTGGAGTGCGAGCCCTGGGGCTCAAGTGTGGAGCAGGCCCAGGCGTGTCCCGGAGAGCCCCTTGAGAGGCACCCATGTCACTCTGCTTGCAGGGGAGCTGCCCCCGTGCACCCCACTCCTCCGCCCCCACGCTCTGGGGCAGCCGTGTCCACCTGGTCTTAGGAAAACTTGAGTCAGCAGCTCTGTCTCTCTTTTTTCATCTAGAGCGCCTTCCTTCCTTTTTTTTTCCATCCACAAGTTATTTTCTAATAATAAGCAGCCACGCATCCCTCCCTTCTAATTTACAGGACCCGCAAGCCCACAGCCTTCCCAGTTCTGTGTCTTCCCCTTTACACCATCTCGGTCCCTACAGGCAAGTGCATTTCGGCAGCTCTGGGTACCAACAGTAGCAGTGGCTGTCCCATGTGCCCAGCCCTGTGCAGACACCTCCCTGTACCCTCACTGTGACCCCAGGCAGTTGTGAAAAGCCCAAGGAGACGCCCCCTCTTCTGTTCACGACTCAGAGCCCCTGCAGGCCTGGGCGTTCCGTTGTGTCCATTGCGGGTGGGGAGGGATGGGTAAGGGAGTTGACTGGTGAGGTGGGATGTGCTTCGTCACAGGGGCCGAGAGGCATGTGAGCATCAGACTCATTTCTGCAGGTGACAGGAACGGGCACAAACGTGGCCCTCACCCTCCCTTGCTTAAGATCTTCAGACTCCCTAAACCATCTGCTGTGGATTGAATTATGTCCCGAAGTTCGTATGCTGAAGTCTTAATCTCTAGTACCTTAGAATGTGACTGTACCGGGGGCCTTTAAAGAGGTGATGAGGTTAAAATAAGGCCAAGAGGGTGGGTCCTAACCCAATCTGACTGGTGTCTTTAGAAGAAGAGGAGCCGTGACCCATGGAGAGACACTGGGGTACACGTTCACAGAGAAAAAAGCGTGTGAGGACAGAGCGAGAAAGCAGCCCTCCGAAAGCCAAGGAGAAACGACTCAGTAGAAACCAGCATGTGGGCCCCTTGATCTTGAACTTCCAGCCTCCAGAACTGTGAGAGAATACACTTCTGTTGTTTAGGCCACCCAGTCTGTGGGGTTTTGTTATGGCAGCCCTGGCAAACCAACACCCCATCACATGGGAGACTCCCATCCATCTCCCCAGCCTCGAGTCTCCTCTCTCACCCCTGTGCCGCCACCTGCAGCCTGGTGAAATTCTGCTCTGTAGCGCAAGCTCACTGTACATACTCTCTTTGCACTGGGTTAAAATCCTAGCTTTGCCATTTATTAGCTATGTGGTCTTGGCCAAATTACTTCATTTCCCTGAGCCCCAGTTTTCTCATCTGTATAATGGCAGTAATCGTTGTAGTGAAAGTGAGGTGAGGTGCTCGGCACTGTCCTCTGCTCCTGATACACATTCCCTTTCCTCCTCCTCTGCCTCTCCGTGATTGCGTCTCAGCTTGGATGTCGCCTCCAGCAGGAAGCCTTCCTTGATTTTTCGAGCATCCTCTCTGCGAGGGGTTCTAAAGCACCCCCCACCCTACAATGTGTCCCTCTGTCCCTACATTTTGTGTCCCTGCTGTCTTGTAACTACCTGTTTACTTGTCTCTGCAGCCCACAAGCCTGTGAGCTACAGAGTCTTGTCCACCACAGGTATGCACAGAGTAGGCTCAATACATTTCTGGTTACTGAATGGGAGATGGCGGGAATAAATTGGTTGGGATCTGACACTTTCCAGAGCTGATAATTTGGGCACAATTCTCATATGCACAACCACAGAGATAACAAAGAATAGTAGCAACAACAGCAAAATAACAATAATAGCAAACACTTCCCATAGAGCGCTTACTCTGTGCCAGACACTCTTTTAAGTATTCTACATCCATTAATTAAAGTCATTCTTATAACAACACTGTGAGGAAGGTACTATTAGTATACCCATTTTTCAGATGAAGAAACTGAGGTCATATAACTTATCCAAGGTCAGAAAAGGCAGCAAACAGCAGAGCTGGAATCTAAGCCCAGACAGTCCGGTTCCCGAATCTGTGCTTTAATACAGTGTTGATGTCTCTTATTATAGGGTAGAGCCCTCATGCCCTTTTCAGCAGAATAGGGTTTCATCCAATGGGTCTGGACCTTTTTTCTCTGCTTATAGAAAGTGCCTTACAACACCTGCACACAGATGTTTATAGCAGCTTTGCTCATAATTGCCAAAAATTGGAAGCAACCTTTAGAGATGTATGGATAAATAAACTATGGTATATCCAGACAATGGACGGTTATTCAGCGTGAAAAAGAAACGGGCTACTAAGCCATGAAAAGCCAAGGAGAAACTTCAAAAGCATATTACTAAGTGAAAGAAGCCAATCTGAAAAGGCTACGTACTGTATGATTCCAACAATATGATGTTCTGAAAGGACAAAACTATGGAAACAGTAAAAGGATCAGTGGTTGCCGGGGCGGGAGGGGGAGAGGGATGAATAGGCAGAGCACAGAGGAGTTTTAGGGCAGTGAAAATACTCTGTATAATACGTGAGTGGGTGGATACATGTCGTTATACTTTCATCCAAACCTATGGAATATACAAAACCAAGAGGACCCTAATGTAAACTAGGGACTGCAGGTGACTAGGATGTGCCAGTGTAGCTTCATCAGTTATAACTAACATCCCACTCCGGTGGGGGATGTCGATAATGGGGGAGGCAGGAGAGAAATGGGAAATCTCTGCGCCTTCCCCTCAATTTTGATCTGAACGTAAATCTGCTCTAAAAAAAATAAGGTCCTAATGAAAAAATACAGTGCCTCAAACCCGATGATCTCTAATCTAACATGCAGTGAAGCAAACTAAAAGAGAGAGACAGAGAGAGAGGAAGGGAGGAAGGAAGGGAGGGAGGGAGGGAGGGAGGGAGGGAGAAAGAAAGAAAGAAAGGGTCCCCAGAAACATGCTTGATAGAAATCGCTCCTTTCTCATAATGATTGTATGTCAGGTCAAAGCACAATACCTTGGATTTTGTCAAATTAAAAGAGAAAGCATTTATTTTCTTAAATGTGGGGCATAATAGATGAAAACGCTGACCAGGGTGCACAAAGCCTGCTTCTAAAATCCCTGTGCTCAGAACTCTGGGGGAGCATCTAGCGGTCAGTGCATCTGAATAGCCCTCTCTGTTGAAACTGCTGTACCAACCAGAATACGAGTGGCCGTCAACATCCCTGAGAAAAAAACAACGTTTTTTCAAAACTTTTACTAAGAGAAATCAGAAAATGCTACAAAGCGCCCCATGCTGACTGCCAAGGGCAAACCCAGACAGTGGCTGCAGGCACTGTTTTGTCGCACAGTCGCTCAGGAAGGGCTGTAAGGACAGGCCAGTCATCTCTCAGAGGAAAGGAGGGGCTGTCTTCCTTCCTACAGACTGTGCCCCACCTCTTTTTTTAAAAAGATAAAGGTCCCGTCTCCCTTGGCATGATTGAATTGACCCCCATACAATCGGTTCAGAATCTTCAGCTGGTTTTGGGACCAATCGCACTGGGATTGAAGGGACTGACCAGGCTTGGATCCACCTCGGCTGACGTGAAGACTGAGAATTTGAGAACTGACCGGGCGGGCTCTGCCCGGATACCCCTTGGTAGAATGATGACAAAACTGCTCGGATTCTCCCCTCCTCCCTGCATCCTCTCACCAGGCGGTGGAGTCTTTCTTTTCCCCATCGCTTGCATCTGGGCAGGCCTGATGTCTTTTTTGGCCAACAGAATGGGGTGGAAAGGTCCTTGGTCCGCTCTGAGCCTAAGCCTTAAGAGGCATGGAGTGCAAAGGCTCTTGTCCTCGGAACCCTTCCTGACAGCCACGGAACAAGCTCGGCTAGCCTGCTGTGTGAAGACAGCCACAGTCACTCCTGTCGCCCTAGCCAACAACCAACCAACCAACAAACCAACAGGCCTGGGCCTGAGGCCACCCTAGATGGGCCAGCCTCCAGCTTACCACGCACATATGCAAGCCCAGCCAGGACCAGCTGAACTGCTGCGGACGAGCAGAGCCACCCAGCCGACCTGCAGACTTTGAACAAGAGTAAATGGTTGCTGTTTTAAGCCACTCCACCTCGAGGTGTCTGTAATACAGCAATAGATACCGATACAATCATCAAATGCAGCCAGAGCCTTTGAACAGCCAAGGAGAAGAAGGGGCAGCCTTCAATCTAGAGAAGGAGTGTGTGCCTCTGTCTGCAAATAAAACTTTATTGGAGCACGGGCCCATCCATTCACTGTAGCTTTCCTGCTGCGACAACAAGGTAAAGTACAGTTGACCCTCTGCATCTGTGGATACAGAGGGCCGACAGCACTACCCCATTTTATACTCATAAAAGATTTGAGCATCACAGATTCTGGTATCGGCAGAAGGTCCTGGAACCAATCCCCCGGAGATACCTAGGGATGACTAGTTTGCATCTGGTTTGCAAAGCCTAAAATATCTACTGTCTGTCCCTTTAAGAAAAAGGTTGCTGATCCCTGGTCTAGGGCATAACAAATAATAACAATCACCACTGTGATAATCACCACCATCACCATCACCATCATCGAACAAACCTGATACAAAGGACTGACTAAGAGTCAGGAGATCAGAATTCCTGTTGTGGCAGGTTCTGCCTTCTCTCTGGGCTTCAGTTTCCGCATCTGGCACTGAAGGAGGATGAGCAAGAAACGCTCCAGTCACTTCCACAGTTGATTTAAACCTCAGTTTGCTCAGACCAAAGGAAATGGGGGTGGGGCCTAGGAATACACATTCTCCCAGGCATCTCCTTATTTTGCTATCCCCGCACCCAAGCCCAGAGCCCCAGATGATTCAAATGCAAGTGAAAGCCTGAGAAACACTGATTTACACCATTTGGTTTCAGAGGGCTTGCCCATGGAAAAGAAAGGCAAAAGCGCAAGTGTTTCCATGGGACGTTATGAGAAATTGCAAAGACTGCTTTGGCAAGGAGACGTTTTAAGAACATCAAGCTGAGGCTGCCAGTTGGAATGTCCCTGAACAAATAAGTCTATGAAGAAGCCAGTCCTAAGATTCATCAAAGGGAGGTAGGAGGAAAGTATGGAGTGGGGCTCAGCAAAAGTTGAAATATTAGTAAGGGATAGGAATGTGTCCAAATACATGGTGGTGGTGGTGGTGGTGGGATGATGATGGTGATGATGATGATGGCGCCCATGGTGTTGGTGACAGTGCCATCTTCCACCCACGAACTAGGTGCTCTTATTAAGGACATGCCATCTTGTCTTACAGTTTCACTCTTGCATTATTTTACTCTTCAAGTACATGAGACTTGGCTGTCCAAATATATCACTAGCTCCTCGAAGGTAAGGCCTTGGGATATACCTTCCGTGTCGTGTGTGGTGGTGAGAGGTCAGGCTTTGCAGTCAGACACACTTGGCTTAAAACCCCAGTGCAGCAACACACTGAGCTCTGTGACCTTGGGCAGGCTAGTACACCTCTCTGAGCTTCTGCTCTCTCATCTGCAGGGATGGGATAATAATACACCTACACAGAAGGGCTGCTGAGAGGACTGAGACAGTGCCCACAGAGCAGTCAGTAGTGCTATTTTTATTGTGCACACTGTAGGGGCCTAATAAATATTTGACAAATGAGCAGACAGAATCCAGTGCACCATGTTCATTGGCCTAAAGTAGTTCTTACGTGGGAGGGCTGGGGGTATGGGTGTGATTTTGCCCCCAGGGGGCATTTGGCAATCTCTGGAGACATTTTGGTTGTCACAGCTGGGGAGGGGGGTGCTACTGGCACTAGGGGGTGGCGGCCATGAATAGTGCTAAACATCCTACAGTGCACAGGACAGTCCTTTCCAACAAAGAAGTAATTGTCCCCAAACGTCAATAGTGCCGAGGTTGAGCACTCCTGCCTTACAGTCAATTTCTATCTCTGTGCCCGAAATCTCCCAGCTGAAAAGTGCTAACTAGTGAAAAAGAAAAAGCTGGGCTTAGAATTCTCTGGAACAGATAGGAGGGGAACAAGGTGTCAAGGTTTCGGAAAGCCCAAGTATTCTTTGGAGGGTTGGTTAGCCCCTGTCACATCACGCAATGAAGAGTTTGTGCCTGGGGTCGGCTCAGAAGGCGGCAGGGGCTTCTCTGGGAAATAGCTCCTTGAGTCTTGGGGAAAACATGTCCCTGGAGCCCTGGGTGAGACATCTTCTAGGCACATGCTGCAGACAGATTTTATCAGGCTTTGCAAACTATTTGACATTAGTGTGTCTGGTGTGGTAAGGGATGGAATGACTCAGTCCCAGCTGGACTGCCACTTAGCTCTAAGCCCCCATGTTTGCCTTCTGTTATTTCTATACACCACATAACACTGCTGGCCCCAGGCTCCCTCTCCCTTTTCAAGAGGACAAAGGAACAGCTCGACAGCTCCCAGCTGTTTGAGTCATTTGACCTTGGCTTTGCATGATAAGCAGATGAGCCAGAGGTGGGACTACTTACACGTGAGCCTCAGGCAGCGAGGGCGCAATGATGCAGCTGTGCACGGGGGTGAACGGACGCAGGAGGACTCCCATCCCCACCTTCTTCATCTTCTTGTCCCCGTTTGTGCTGAAGGTGAAGCAGAACGAGAGCAGCAGAGTGAGCGGGCAGGAGCTGTTTTAAATGCCCTCTTCTCTCGCCAGGGGTTGTCTGGCAAATATCACTGGGCACCTGCTGTGGGCCAGGCAGAAATTCCCGCTGGAGAGATGAAGGTTCTAGATGCAGCCAGTAAGCAGAGCATATTAGACCCCCTTCTCTCATGGAACACATATTCCCATGAAGGAGCAGATAAGATAAATCTGGCAGTTGTGTGGTATACTGGTATAGTAGACTAGCGGTCGGATATGTTTTGTTACCTGGCTAGACAAATATTTACGATGTTGTGGGACATTCGGTCTATGTCATGACTACTTAGTAGCAGGAAAGCCATTGACAGAATGTAAGCAATAAGCAAATGGCAGGGTTCCAATAAAACTTTATTTACAAAACCAGCCTGGGGGCTGGATTTGGCCCATGAGCTGGAGTTTGCTGACCCGTTCCCATCCCCACCCCCACTAGACAGTGATACGTGCTATGGGGAGAAAAAAGAGAAGGGGGCTCAGAAGGGCTGGGAGAGCTGGGGCTTGCAATTTTCAATAGAGTGATTGGGGAAGTTATCACCGAGAAGGTGACATTTGATAAAAATCTGCAGTGGAAGGGAGTGAGCCATTCAGATGTCTGAGGGCAGAGCATTCTGGAGAGAGGGAGCAACACGTGCAAATGTCCTGAGGTGGGACTGTGTTTTAGAGATGGCAAGGAGGCATGTGTGGCTGGAGTGAGCAACAGAGAGAGAGGGAGGGAAGGATGGAGAGAGAATGGGGGCCTTGCAGACCAGTGCGAGGACTCTGGCCTTTTCCCTCAATGAAAGTAAAGGACTCCGAGCTGAAAGAGGACATGATGTGACCAAGGATCCCTCTGGCTGCTGTTTTCAGAATGGCCGATGGTGGGAGTGGAGGGCAAGGAGACCAGTGAGAAGTATCACAATAATTTCAGCTTGAGAGAGGAAGGTGGCCGGCACCCAGGGTCCTAGCGACAGGGAGATGGTGGGAAGTGGAAATGGCGGGTGCACACAGGGCAGGAACTGCCTGCAGTCAACGGCTTTTATTTGCGGTCCTTTCCTTAAAGGGGCTTCTCCCAACTCTCCAGACTGCTGACTCACTGGCTGGATGAACCAGCCGTGAGACGTGGGGATCTCGAGCTTCAGACGTCGGCACAAGTGTGCCCCCAAAGATCAGCCACGACCAGGCGTACCTCTCTGGAAGCCCATCCCCTGCCCCACAGAGAATACAGAAGCTTCCTCTGAAGCCAAAACCATCTGGGGGAAGCAGGGGTGGGCGGGGGGGTGGGGAAAGGGATGCTTAGAGAGGAGAACTGCCCAAACAGGCAGTTCATCTTTTTTTTTTTTTTTTTTTTTTTCTGTACGCGGGCCTCTCACTGCTGTGGTCTCTCCCGTTGTGGAGCACAGGCTCCGGACGCGCAGGCCCAGCGGCCATGGCTCACGGGCCCAGCCGCTCCGCGGCATGTGGGATCTTCCCGGACCGGGGCACGAACCCGCGTCCCCTGCATCGGCAGGCCGACTCTCAACCACTGCGCCACCAGGGAAGCCCAGGCAGTTCATCTTTGAAACCACTGCACATTTATCCAAAAAAGACTGTTTCAAAGTGAAAAATATTAAGTTACATTTAATACCACAGTTAAGTTTTTCTTTTCAACACCATCGTGGAGTAAGTCATTTCAGTCAGAGAAAACGGGGTTTGTTTGTTTTTTCCTTTTTGGCATGCCTGGGTCACAGGGTATATATTTTTTGCCCATGACCAAATCTAGCCCATAGGCATGTTTTAATAAGCCTACTGTGTGCGTAATGGAATTGATTGTCTATATTTTAAAATTGGGAGATGTCACATAAAGATGGAAAAGCTTTGGTTCTTGAAGACCCGATAGTTCTTGCCACTCTGAGTAAGAGTTGGGTGTGGCCCAAGGTCAAGATCGCTGCCCACTTTGCACGAGGTGGTGCCTCTTGGGTTGCCTGAGACTCAAAAACCCCTGGCATCTCAGTCCCAGCTTGCCTTACATATTTATGCTACCAGTGTGCTCCTTTAAAGCCTTGTAGTTTCTCAGCCTGAGGACTTTAATACTGATTGAATCATTGACGGGCTCCCTGATTCATTCACGTCTACCCATATCCACGGAACATCTCTGCGCTGGGGGCTGTAGGTGCGGTGATGGAGACAGATCCAGCCCCTCCCCTCCGGAGCTTAAGAGCCTCCTGGCGGAGACGGGCTTTACACAAACACAGCTGTGATAAGGCTGAGTTGGAGAGTGTGTGGTGCTTTGACAGACCCAAACAGAGAATCTGGCTGAAATGGAGCCAGGGAATACTTCCTGGAGGGAGTTGTGTCAGTTTAGAAACAGGGGCCTCAAGTTTCTTCTAATGGGAAGGTGGCTTTATAGCCCCCATTCCCCTGGAATCTTGGCTTTCTGAGTGGCTGGGCCAATAGAATGTGTCGGAAGTGGTGTGATGCCGATTTCTGGGTCCCGGCTCCAGGAACTGGCAGCTTTTCCTTCTTATGTCTTGGGATGATCACTCTTAGCACCCAGGCACCACCATGCTGGGAGGAAGCTGGCAGCCTGTGAAGAGACTCATAGGGAAGAGGACCAAGACTGCGGGCTCTCAGTCCTGGATGAGCTCAGAGCTGACAGCCAGCCCCCAGGTGCCACCGTGTGCACGAGCTCTCTCGGAAGCAGACACTTTGAGCTGCCCCAGCTAGTGCTGAATCCCTCCCCACTTAACCCTACTCAAATGGCAGATTTGTGAGTGAAATAGATGTTTGCTGTCTTGAGTTAATAGGTTTTGGAGTGGTTGCTCACAGCAACAGTAACTGGAACAGAAGTAAATATTGAGCTGAGATCTGCAGGTTGAATGGGAATTCAGTAGGCAGAGGGCAGAGGGAGAGGCCCTGGGGAGGAGGGAGAGGGGGACAGTGTGGCTGGAGGGGAAGCCAAGGGCTAGCCCATCCAGAGCCTTGTAGCCCCTGCTCAGACTTTTGTCTTTATCCGATAAAGAATGGTGGCCACTGAGGATTTTAAACTGGGAGTGGTTTACATTTGGAAAGCTCCCTCTGGCTTAGCGTGGGGAAAGGAGCCAGAAGAGGTGGAGGCAGCCATTAGGACGTCACCTTCCTCCTGGGAATTGGAGGACAATCTTGGGGTCACAGAGCTAACTAAAAAGTAGGACCAGAATCTAGGTCCCCTGCTTTCCATTTCCACAGGCTCTTTATTCAACCCTAGAGCTGAGGAAACCACAAGCCAATATGTTGGCATGCCCAGGCTTACTGGCTCAACCCAGTGGTCTAGAATACGGGGAAATTAACCCAGCTATTACACGCCTTAATCTCTTGTTTTATGTCTCGTCTCAACTGCAAACATAAGACAAGTTCTACCCGTTGTTTTTTTCTCCTTTTTCAGCCGAACCTGCAGCTGAGAAATGAGGTCAATGAACACAGTGGGAAAGACTGCTTGCAGGCCGGAATCTTTGGGGACATGCTTGATTTTCTTTTTTCCCTAGTTTGTCAGACTTAAAACTTTGGTCTAAAAGAACTTATCCTATGGTCTTAGATCCAGAGGGGGGGAAAAAATCCCTTTTGCTTTTAGAATGTGCAGGATCAAATACTGTGTTAAAAAAGCAGTTCTAAATGAACACTTGTATTTTTGATAATTCTGTGATTGGAATTATATTTATAGAACATAGCTCTTACATGTGAGATGCCTTCTAGCCTGCCTGGAAATTAAGATTTTTAGCCATAGACCTGAGGGTTTTAAGTAATTGAGGGCCAGAGAGATCAACTTCATTTCACTGCATAATAATAGCTAGCAATTACTAAGCACGTCTCATAAGCCAGGCTCTGTGCTAAGTGTTATTTCTTTTAATCCTCATAACAAATTTGGGAGTTTGGTACCATTCATAAGGGTGTAGAGAGAAGAGGCTCAGAGCAGCACAGCGACCTGCCCAAAGCTAAACAGTTGTATGTGGGAAGTCTGGGCTCGAACCCCAGCCCCGTGCTCTTAACCACTACTCCCTACTGGTAGGGATAATCTCCCAGTGCTATTTTATAACCCCTGCCGCCCCCACCTGCATTTGATGGCTATGTTGCAATAACAGCCTCCAGTTTTATTTTAATGACCAGCCTTGCACAGCTCATGGAATCCACTGGATAAGTCATAACCAGACCAATGTCCACGTGAGGCAAGATCTCATGCATATTTAAACTTATTAAACTTTAAATATACCATGTCTTGCACACTGAAACATGGATCGGAGAGGGAAGAACTGTGTTCTGTGACCATGGATTAAAAACCCCATGCAAACAAGGGCAACGTCACAACCAAACTGTTTAAACAGTCACGGGAGGATCTGTACAGATGCCACCTTCCCCAGAGCCTGTCTGTTTGTCCACTAACCTGAGCAAAAAGTTCCTGCGAAAAGAGCCACTAGTTCGTTCCTTCTCTTTATTCTAGAGAAAGGCTGCCAGGTGACTAGTGCCCCTAGAGGTACCAGACTCAGAGAGGGTCATCGAGGCTCTTAGATGACACTAACGGCAAAACTTGCGCTGAGCTCGTGGGACCTTCACGGAGAGGGTAAGAACCCCTCGGCTCACTGAGTGGCTTTCTCTATATCCTGCGCCTCTTCAAGGTCCCGTGAGGACACTTCAGTGGGGTCCACTGAGTGGCTGGATGGAGGTGGCTCAGGTCATGACTTGCCTGCTTTTATTTTTTTTTTCATTCTGAAAATCGTATTTCTGATTTTGGCAATAGATAACACCACCACATCCTCCTTCTCCAGCCCTGGCCTTTCTAACCAGACATGCGGGCTTCAGGATTTCTGGCGGGCTGATACAGATGGGTCTAACCATACTTCTTTTTTCGTCACCCACTGAACTCCCATTCAGCATTAAAGACCCTGCTCAGAAGTTACACTTATGGGGATTCTTTCCAGATTTCCTTTTCACCCCCTAAAGTTGAGCGGGCGGACACTGTGAAGTAATAGAAAAAATATATATATATATTGGTCTCTGCCCTCACTTTCTGGCACAGAGCTCCTAAAACCCTTGGAATTTCCTACGTGATAAAGAGTACCAGGGGCATCTCTTGTTTTAATATTTGGTCTTAGACCCTGGATCCTGACACAGAGCTCCCAAATCCCTTGGAATTTTCTGGGTGATAGAGGTGTCTTTTTCTGGGGAATGGGGCAACTCTTGGTGGGCTCCTGGATAGCTTTAGGATGGGGGCTGGTTGCCAGAAAGACCAAGCCATGATTAGAAGCTTGGACCTCTCAGCCCCACCCCCAGTCCTCTGGGAAGGGGAGAGGGGCTGGAGACTGAGTTAATGACAGAGCATGCCTATGTGATGAAGCCTCCATAAAAATCCCTGAAGTACGGGGTTTGTAGAGCTTCCGAGTTGGTGATCACATCCAAATAATGGGAGGATGGCACTCCCCAACTCCACAGGAACAGAAGCTCCTGTGCCTGGGTCCCTTCCAGATCTCACCCTGTGTACTTCTTGATCGGGGTGCTCATCTGTACCCTTTATTATGTAATAACATGGAAAATGTAAATCAGTGTTTCCCTGAGTTCTGTGAGCCATTCTAGAAAATTATCAAACCCAAGGAAGGGGGTCATGGGAACCCTGATTTATAGCTGGTTGGTCAGAAGTACAGGTGACAACCTGGGACTCGTGACTGGCATCTGACGTGGGGGGGGGGGGCAGTCTTGTGGGACTGAACCCTTAACCTGCGGGATCTGATGCTAACTCCAGGTAGAAAGTGTCGGAACTGAACAGGATGGTAGGATGCCCTGCTGGTGTCACAGACATTTGCTTGGTGTGGGGGAAAACCCCACACATCTGGTGTCAGAAGTATGAGTGTGATCATGGTGTGAGAGTAAAGGAGAAACACGTGGGAGGAGTGTTCTTCCTTTACAGGCACACTTCAGGGCACTGGAGGTCCACCCCATGGTACTGTGCTGTGGCACCGCATGCGGTAGGGACTGTCCTCCAATCCTTTTCATATCTCCGTGCCATCAGAAGGCCTGCACGCAGTAGGTCGGCTGTACAATGAGAACGGGCCTGGGTCAAGGTCGTCTCCCATTCTCACCCCTACACTTACTTGGAAGCCAGGATAAAGGTCCAAGACATAATGCACTAAGGGGCCATGGGTATTTTACTGAAGATCTTCTGGGGAAACTGAGGGATGGATCTACATGTCACACTATGAGGCAAAACCTCGTAAAAACCCTCATTAGACATCTCCGTTCTCTCCCACTGTTGGCTGCCTTTCCTCTCTTCTCTCCTCCGAAGGGTCCCTTCCGCTCACACTCTCGGCCCGTCTCCTGAATGTCTCCATTCTATCTGTCAGGGAAGCCTCTCTGCTCTTCCTGTCTATCTGTGTATTCACTTGAATACACTTGCTCACCAAAGAAAGCTTCTCCTTGGGATGCTGACTCCTTGGAAGGCATGTGGTGGGGATTGTAAATCATAGATATTTTCTCTAGTCTCAGAATGAATGAATGAGTTAATAAATGAATGCACAAATGGTAAGCTAGCTTACTTAGACCAACCCACTGGGTAAAAATAACCAAAAATGCTGGACAAAATATTTTGTTTAGAAAGAGTGGCAAAGGGACTTCCCTGGTGGTGCAGTGGTTAAGAATCTGCCTGCCAATGCAGGGGACATGGGTTCAAGCCCTGGTCCGGGAAGATCCCACATGCCGCAGAGCAGCTAAGCCCGTGCGCCACAACTACTGAGCCTGTGCTCTAGAGCCCATGAGCCACAACTACTGAGCCCGCAAGCCTAGAGCCTGTGCTCCGCAACAACAGAAGCCACGGCAATGAAAAGTCCGAGCACCGCAACGAAGTGTAGCCCCCGCTCACCACAACTAGAGAAAGCCCGCACGCAGCAACGAAGAACCAGTGCAGCCAATAAATAAATAAATTTTAAAAGTAAATAAAATAAAATAAAAAGAGTGGCAAAGAGCCAACAACGAAGTGGGAATCTCTCGGCCAAAGCTAAAGAGAGACTGGAAACCAGAGAGGTAAGGCGGCCTGGGAGCTGCTTTGGTCCTAAGGACATTTGCCAATTTAGAAAAGGTTAACTTTCCTTCTAACAGCTTCCCAGGGCAAGGAAAAAGCACAGTCCATGGTCTGCACAAATGAGGAATCAAAGAGAAGACCCTTCTTACAATAAGCTGGGATTCCCAAGGGCCAGACTTTCAAGGGAAAGGTGACTAGAAATATACCAGCCCTTCATGGTCTCACACTCAGGGTTCCCACCAGTCACCAGGAACCCTGAGCTTTAAGAAGACCTCCAACCACTAGTGTTCAGCCCCCTCACCCCCCACGCCAGGGCCTCACAGACCAGAACTCCCTCCTTCTTTTTTTCCTTTAAGTTGAAATTTACATAACATAAAATTAACTGTTTTAAAGGGTGCGATTCAATGGCATTTGAATTGATGGCTGTACAACCATCTCCTAAATCTAGTTCCAAAACATTTTCATCAGCCCCAAAGGAGACCCCACACCCGTTAAGCAGTCATTCTGCATCCCCCCACTTCCTCAACCCCTGGCAACCACCAATCTGCTTCCTGTTTGGGATGAACCTCAAACAAACTATGGCAAGTGAAAGGAGCCAGGCACAAAAAGGTCCCATATTGTATGGTTCCATTGGTAGGACCATTGTTTTTAAGACGTACACATGCATATTTCTTTACGTTAACGTTGTGAAGAATTTGGGAAATGGTGCATTACGTGCTGTGGATTCTATTTCCTCTTTAGCCGGCAACATGTCAATTTGGGTTCCTAAACGCAGCCCTAGCACAGTAACTCTCAACCTTGGCTTCACATGGGAATTATCTAGGGGAGCTTTAAAAAGTACTATGTCCGGGGGCTTCCCTGGTGGCGCAGTGGTTGAGAGTCCGCCTGCCGATGCAGGGGACGCGGGTTCGTGTCCCAGTCCGGGAAGATCCCACATGCCACGGAGCAGCTGGGCCCGTGAGCCATGGCCGCTGAGCCTGCGCATCCGGAGCCTGTGCTCCGCAGCAGGGGAGGCCACAACAGTGAGAGGCCCGCATACCGCCAAAAACAAACAAACAAACAAAAAAACAAAGTAGTGTGCAAACACATTAAGGGAACTCAGAGTCCAAATGGGCTCTGGAGGTGGTTGGGCTGAAATCTGGGAAGGATCAGGAGAGGGCAGCATTTAAGCTGGGCTTTTAATGATTAATTAGAACCTTAGTTGGAAGAGTACTTAAGGCCCAGAGAACAGCACGGGAAAATGCCTAGAGGTAGGGACAAGGCTTGGAATGAGAGGGAAAGAGGCACACCTGGGGACCAGCAAGATTTCTTGGGTAGCTCTTGGCATTGGATGTGCGGACAGACATATGTAGTAGAAGATACCTCACTGTACCGGGAGGTGAGGCTGGCGAGGCAGGTTGAGCCAGACTAAAAGAAGCCATTAGACACCAGCCTAAGAAGGGGCTCCCCATGTGAGACAGCTGCCACCCCTCAACCCAACCAGGCAGTGTTCCTTCACAGTGGTCCTTCCCAAGACCACTGGTGCCACGGTGATGGTGTCTACTTACGTCAAAAGAATATCCCCATACTGGACATCTGACATCTTTTTGGCTGGTTGGAATATATTTCTTCCTTCCTCTTTGAGTTTCTGAAGTTGTTGTTGCTTCTTTTTCAATGCACTCTCCTCCCTCAGAATAGTAAAGTAACCACGGCCAATCTTCACCCACTGAATCAAGATGCTGGAGAAACAGAAAGAGAGAGGAACACGAGTTGGCTATCAGTGGAATGTCTTACTGTCTTGGGACTGAGAATCCATTGAAGGGCACTCTCGTGCCCAGTAGCAGGAGACCTCCTGCCTTTAGAATTCCAAAGCCACAGAGACCTGAGCTTGGATTATGGACCCACCTCTTACCAAAGACCTTGTACCAGTTACCTAACCTCTCCTGGTTTCGGTTCCATCACGCCACAAACATTTATTGAGTGCCTACTATGTGCTAGGCACTCTGCTGTGTCCACTGAAATGAGCATAATAATTGACACCCCAGAGAATTAATTTAATTGGCGGCATTTTTATTTTGTTTTGTTTTTCATGGTGTGTCTCAGATTCAGTGAAATGCGGTATTTGAGTTTCTTATACATATGTCACCGGAAGGTCACCAGCAATCTTTTTCTAAATTTAGACCCCGCTTCTCAGCTCACGTAACGTTTTCTGAATCTCTATGCTACACGACACATGTGCATCCCAGCCGGTCACTGGCAGGTACGGATCAGACATCATCTGCCCAGCCCATATTCTTGTTACAGCAAACTAGTCTCTCAGGTTCCTCATGTGTAAAATTGTGCAAAACCAAAGGAACGTGTACGCTGGTGGAACACAGTGAAACCAGATCACACAGAACTGGCCCTGGATTGTCCATTTGGGCTCTTGTTTTTAAGTTTAGGGATGCAAGCCGTTGATCTGAGGTGGAATTCATATTTGAAACAAAAATGTGCTTCGGTTTTGCTTTCAAGCTTCTGAAATCCACTCATCAAAGAGCATCCTGAGGTTGCCGGATAACCTGATAGAACGAAAACCGTAACCAGGAGCAACCCCTTAATTTCACAGGGGACGATTTTCTGGATGCGGCACAAAGCAAATGCAGAGCTGTTCTGGGAGCTGGGGCTGACAGCAGCTGTTTTTTCATGGTTATGTTACTTCCCAGAGACTCCTCGCTCAAAACGTGGTTCATAGGTCAAGACTGACGTCACACACGCAGCACAAGGGTGTGAAATGGCATGACTCACATTATGAGGCTTTCTGGGCTCCAAAGCAGGTCTGCAATCAGCTGAGGGAGCGGGGCCGGGGGGGGGGGGGAGCTTGCGGGGGGGAGGGCCGGCTTAGGGAACGGGGGGCGGGGGGGTGGCCGGCTTAGGGTTTTCTGGGAGTGGGGCTGGGGTGAGGGGTCCCTTGCTTGGGTGTGGTCTCAACTTCCCGCCAGCACCAAAACAAGGAGCACCTTGGGTTTCTTATCAGCTTTTGCCCAGATGTGGGGCAGAGGGAATGGGGAGGAGGGGGGCGGGCAGCTCAAACGCTGTCAAAGGTCGCAGGTCAAAAATGGGGTCAGACTCTTCATTGCGTTAATTCACGCCCAATTTCAAATGTGTGTGTTTGCCTAAATAGCTGCATCATTATTAACCATTCAACAAAAATGTAATGAATACCCGCTGTGTGTCAGGAGCTACTCTAGGTGCTGAGGTACAGCAGCAAACCAAACAGCTCACAACATTCCTGTCCTCGTGAAGCTCCTATTCCAGGGGGTGGAGACAGACACGAAACAGCGTGAAGTGTAGGTGACACGCTAAGTTCCAGAGAGGAGCATAAAGCAGGGACGCGGGAGAGTGAGAGACAGGGGTGGGGCGTGGATTGGTGCCATTTTAAATTGATGGTCAGCGAGGGCCTGGCTGAGAAGGTGACATTTGAGGAAAGACATAAATGAGGTGATGGAGTAAACCATGCAGATGCCTGGGGGAAGGGAACAGCATGTGCAAAGGCCCTGGGCAAGTACAACTTTTCATCCAGAAAAGTTTCGCTTTCATTGAATAAAATGTTATGTGACATCACATAGTACAGTTTGTGCTCCTGAAAGATTATATTTGTCTGATTTAGATACTGGTCTTCTATCTAAGACTTTTGTTTCACAGAAAGGATCTGCTCTGAAAAAGGAAGGAAGGAAGGGAGGGAGGGGGGAGGGGAGGGGAGGGGAGGGGGGAGGGGAGAAGGAGGAAAAGCACTGCTGTGTCCCAGACTGGGTGCTACTCTAGGAAGCAATAGATGTTACCACTTTCATTAAGACGCTCATCTCTAATAACTCCAACTAACATCCTCAAGCCGAACCCCAGCAATTGGAGAGGTCCCTCTCTGCCATAGGACCTCAGTGAGACTTCTCAAGCGTATCCAGGGTGCTCCTGAGATGCAGCAAATCATCTGGATAAGAGGCTTTTTCAGTGAACGAGGCCATGTTGTGGTTTCACATCTGTGGCAGAACTTAGCCCTGTAGCTCAACAGTTCTGTGTCTGCCCTCCCGCGAGTCCCTCACTTCTGGGTGTGTGAGTTCACTTATTTATCCTCACAACAGCTCGACCTTGTGGGCACTGTTGTTATCATTTCCATCTGCAGATGAGGAAACAGGCCCAGAAAGGTGAGGTCAGAAAAGCTGGAAAGAAGCAGATCTGGGGTCTGAACCCAGGTGGTGGATTCCCCCGTGGGGTCGGACTACAGAGTCCGCTGGTTTGTAGGAGGTCAGGATGTTTCCACTGGGGAGTCTCACCAGCTTGTCCTGGAAATCCCTGTCCTCGACTTGGAGATTCTATAGGCCACCAGGTGTCCTTGGCTAACTTGGGTGGCTTGTCATTGACTGGCCCGGTGTTAGGGGCTCGCCTTTACCTGTTGCCCAGATTCTCTCATGGAGTAGAAGGCTGTCAGCAAGGCCTCTCAGGTCCCAGAACTGACCGTGGTCTTCAGAGGCAGTGGGTGGGACCGGCACGGAGAAGTCTCATGTGTGATAACTGCGCACAACAGGGGGAGGGGTTCCAGGGACCTGGAGCAGACCCAGGCAGTATGGTGGGCTTTGCGCTCTGATTTCACTGTGTAACTGAACAAAAGCCTTTGTCTTTCCCTGCAGAAACTGTAACCAACTAGATCCTGAAATGCAGGTGTTATGGACTGAATTGTGTACCACCCTGCAGCCCAATTCATAGGGTGAAGTCTCAACCCCCAGTACCTCAGAATGTGACCTTATTTGGAAATAGGGTCACCGCAGATGTCATTAGTTAAGATTCGGTCATACTGGAGGAGGGTGGGTCCCTATGCCAATATGACTGGTGTCCATATAAAAGAGGAAACTTGGGCACAGACACATAGGCAGAGAGAAAACCATGTGAAAATGAAGGCAGAGATCAGGGCAATGCTTCTGCAGGCCAAGGAATGCCGAAGATCGCCCGCAAATCAGCAGAAGCTAGGAGAGAGGCATGGAACAGATTTTCCCTCTCAGACATGAGAAGGAAGCAACCCTTCTGATACCTTGATCTTGGACTTCTAGCCTCTGGAACTGTGAGACAATAAATTTCTGTTGTTTAAGCTACCCAGGTTGTAGTACTTTGTTCCAGCAGCCCTAGTAAACTGTTACAGCATGATCAAATATCTAAGCCTACACTCATGCAACAGCCCAACTCCTTATTTTCTTTGACTGCAAGGGTTAACGAAATCCTTATTAAATTAATTTTAGGGCTTCCCTGGTGGCGCAGTGGTTGAGAGTCCGCCTGCCAATGCAGGGGACGCGGGTTCGTGCCCCGGTCCGGGAGGATCCCACATGCCGCGGAGCGGCGGGGCCCGTGAGCCATGGCCGCTGAGCCTGCGCGTCCAGAGCCTGTGCTCTGCAACGGGAGAGGCCACAGCAGTGAGAGGCCCGCGTACCGCAAAAAAAAAATTAATTTTATAATAAGTGACAGGCTGAAGGTCACGCCACAGTAAATAAAAGGGACCTGAATATTATGTCCCAGGCCCTGAGCTGGACACCTATTTTGTGTCAGATCCTGTTCTAGGCAGTTATGATGTGTCCGGTTCTGTTCAAGCACTGGCACTACAAAGGCAAACACATCCTCAAAGAATTCACAGTCTTCACCTCTGCCTCTAAGTTATCTTATTTCTATAAAAGTAGAAATTAAGAGGTTGTTAAGAGATTTATTTGACTTCTTTATGCCCTTATGCCAAAAAGGATTACGAGCAGAAAATTTTAGAAGTGAGAAGGGCAGGAGACATGAAAAAATAAGAAAACAGTATCAGGTAAGACAAGTATCGAAACCCACGATACATGAGCTAGTGCCCAGATTTGGCCCTCAGCATCCTAGTGGCCAGCACAAGGAGGGAAACACAATCCCTCATGTGATTCCTCATGACCATGAGATTTTGAAACAGCTGTTCAGGTGATGCCTAGCCATTCCTGGTGGAAGAAGAAGAGATTTCTTTCAAGGACCTGTATAGGGACGACACTGTGAAAAGCGAAGTCTGCAACAAACCTCTAGATGCGGGTAGCGATGAATGCTTGTCTTACTGATTGACTCACAGAAAAGCATCGGGGAGTTGGTGTTGGTAATTTGAGGAATCTAGCAAGTTTTCTGGTAGAACTGCAGCCCCTTTCAACCAAGGCAGCTGGACTCCTAGCGGTTAGATCTTCTGGAAAGACCTGGCTGAGAGATGAACAGAGGTGGTGGTGTGGGGTGGGGGGGGCAGGGGTTGTCTGGGCCCTCAGGTCAGACCCACCAGCCTATTCTGGGAACTTCAGGCTGCGGGGTGTTCGCTCCGTGCACCGTGAAGTGCTCCCCTGTTACTGCAGAGGCCCATTTAAAAATGCCTAGTATTTTAGCAAACCCCCATTTAATTCCCTGTATGTTCCCTCCATTTTCTTCATCATTATTGTTGATTACCAGGCTATTCGCCTGAAGGGAGCTATTTGCAGGGAAGAGCAGTCTTCATCTTTAAATCCACTCACCCGGGGCCTCCTGTTCACTGCTTTCCGTGATGTAAAACTCCCACGGCTAACGTGGCAAGAGGAACGATGGGGAGTCAAATAATTAACTGCGCCAGGCAAACGGAGGAAGAAGCGGATTATAAAATGGAAAGTTTCCTCTACCCAAAGCCTCTTCCTCTTAACCAATGCATGCGGGTAGGTTTTCACATTTAAGGGACATGTGTTCTCTGTAC